TGCACGCGGGGCACGGCATGCGGTGAGCACCCGCGGGAGGAGAGGGGCTCGTGGCCAGAAGCAGCGGCGATGGGCATCGTGTGGACTGCTGTCTAGGGCTCGTGTTCCCAGAGCGACCCTGATCCTGGTAAGTGGGTTTTTTTTGCATTACAGGCGCTTTGCTGGGTGCGTAGCATGGGCTGTCCACACATTGTGTAGCCCTTCAGTGGGCTCCCCCGGGATCCTGGTGCCAGGGACTAGAGCTCCTGGGATGGGATGCCTGGGAGTGGGGATGAGAGTGGGGTGAGAGGGTCCTGCCCAGGCATCGGGGTCCTCATGTGGGTACTGGGGAGGGAGAACAGAAGGAGAAGTGCAGAGCTGAGCAGGAGCTGTATCTGCTGCAGAGGAAGGGACTCTGCTGTCACGGCATTTTCATCCCCCTCTGGGAGATGAAAGAGTGCGACACACCTATGAAATCTGTCATAGCGCAGCAGGATGGGCAACCTGATCCGGCAGGGAGAACAGACACTGGCTTGGTGTCCCCAGGACTGGGACACAGCACCCGCCCCCCCCCCCACCCGACATCCCCACTGGACTCCCACAGCCCTGCAGAGGGTGGGAGGGACCATCAGCCACGGACCTCTCTGCCCCATGGCAAATAGATCATCTCGCAGCAGCAGTCCCAGCAGTGCCACAGTTCTGGCATGTGCTGTCTGTCTGGGTGAGGGGACAAGAGGATGCTGCCAGACCCTCGTGGCCATCTGCAGCCAGCTCAAGGAGGTGGAATGCAATGTCCCCTAAGCAGAGCCTGCTGCCTTCACAGCCTGGCCCCCTCGCTCCAGGCAAGCAGCAACTGGCAGAGATGTGCAAGAGCCATGGCAGAGCCATGGCAGCTCCTCCCAGCCCTGCTTCATGCCCTTCGGACCGAGACCTGGGACCGGGCTGCCATGGGCTCCTCCCTGCTGGTACCCCACCCCTCTTAGGTTCCCTTCCTTAATGCTGCTCTAAGTAAGGCACAGCACTGCAGGGCAAGAGACTCAGCAGCCTGGTGAGGGCAGGGAGGAGGCTGGGCCCCCTGGCAGCCTGTGGGGACCAGGCACATCCTTCCCCCTCGATCGGGGAGCCAGCTCCTGGCACACGAGGGGGTTCTGGTCCCTGCACACCCCTGATGCATCCCCCTGAGGGTGGGTGCCTGCTCAAGGGTGCACCAGCCCAAGCACCCACTGACCCTTCATTTGCTGGGAGGGCCTTTCACCGAGGACCACTGTGGGGCAGGTAACAGTCAGTCCTACAGACCCTGTGGCTCCACACCCCCATCTCCCCAGGCCACCACTGCACACCACAACAGCTCACCCTGCACCCACAGCCCCTGAGAAGCACCCATCCCACAGCCCCAGCTGCCACAGACACCACCCCACTCCCACAGCTGCTGCAACATCCCTGCACCCAAAGCCACCACCCACCCCATGGCCACAGCCTCTGCAACACCCTCCCTGGGCCGTGACAGCCGCCCTGCTCTGCCAGCCACGCCGTGGCACATTCACCCCAAAACACATCCATCCACCCCTCGCGCCTCATCCACCCTGTAACACATCCAGCCCTAACAAACACACCCTCCCTGCGCCGCTCCCGACGCATCCGTCCTGCGCTCCCAGCCACCACACCGCCCCGGCTGCGCCCACCTGTGTGTCACCCGCTGCCACCCACACTAACCTGGCACCCCGGAACCCCAGCACAAGCCACGTGTGCTCTGCCATGGGAGAGAGGTTTTGCAGCCATGCAGGGACCGCTGGCTCTGTTTGCATCTGGATGCTCTGCCCTGTTTCCTTCTCCCGGGGTGCCTCCGTGCTAGCCACCAGCTCTCTCCCCATTCACATCTAACACAGGCTTAATTCTCACTCCAGCTGCACCAGCCTTGCTTCCATGCCTCAGTTTCCCCACGTAGAGAGGAGCATGAAGCTGGGAAAGATGTGTCCATGTGTACTAAGAGGATGAAGTGCTTTCTGGCTCGGTGTTTTGCTTCAGGAATGGAGCCGTAAGGAGCAAATCCAAAAGAGAAGAGTGAGGGGAATGGGTGCTGCCCAAGGATCAGAGCAGGGGTGCAGGGGGCTGGGGGCAAGGGAAGGAAAGGGGCTGGGAAGTTTCCCACCACCCACTGTGACAGCCCCCGGTGCTGGCAGGGCTCGTGGAGCCGGGTGTTTGCAGGCAGCTCCTGCCTGTGCCCAGATTTAGCTCCTCTGTGGGGGCGACCTAAAAATAGCCCCACGGTGCAGCCTGGCAGCAAGGTCGAGGCCCCCGCACCTCTTAGGTCACCATGAGACAGGTGGTGGTTCTGTTTGCCTCAGGGGGTGGACACAAATAGCACTGGAGACACCTTCCCCCAAGGACATGTGGGGACGCAGGGGCTGCTCAGGTTTCTGGGCTGCTATGGGGCAATACTGACCCTGGTCCTCCCTTCCCCAGGAGAAGGGGGACTCCTGCAGTCTAGCAGGCCCCCAGATCATCCCAGGTTCTATGTGAGGGTGAAGTCCTACCCTGCAAAGCCAGGTCAGGCAGGGCATGGGGCACAGGCAAAAAGGGGTCAGGACAGGGCCGAGCAAGTTTGGGGTATCTGGAGAGCAGTGGGGCCTGTGGAAAGGCAATGGAGTCTGGAGACTGAGTTCAGGGTGAAGCCATTCAGCCCTGGATGTGCAGGCAGGGTCCAGCTGTGCAGCACTAGCAGGGGCAGGGGGACCAGCAGAGCTGAGAATAGACACAAGTCATGACAGAAGTGAAATTGTCCAGGCTCCAGGCACACAGTGGACAGTGGCAGAAGGCACTTGGGGTAGGCTTGGAAGAGGACAGGAAGCAGGGAGGTCGGCTGGGATCTTGCAGCAGCAGTGCAGTGCAGGTGGGTGACTATGAACACACAGGAGAACCAGATTTGGGGGGGGAATACAGCAAGTCCACACACCAGCCACCCTTCTGTTGCCCAGGCTGCCCCACTGCACTGCAGGGTGGCTGGGGCTGGGGCACCCAGAGCTCAGCAGCATCATGGGGAGAAGCTGCCAGAATGCTGGGATGAGGAACACCAGTGTGGGTACCAGGGAGACTGGCGTGCTGTGGGCCACACACCTCTTTTCACTCTTCTCTGTGAGCCTAGCCCCTCTGGATCCTCTCCTCCCCACTTCTACCCAAACCTTGGGCAGGAGTAGGCCTGGATCTGGTCAACACTCGGTGGTGCAGGGACCTACAAAGGCAGATCTTGGGGGGATTTCCCTGTGACTTCTCCGACTCTCTCGCTCGCAGGCAGAGCTGCAATGCTGCCCAGCAGCAGAGCTGATCCTGACCACGGCAGACGTGACCCTGAGCCAGCCAGGCAGAGGGTGGTGGCACGGCGAGGAGGTAGAAACACCCAGGTGTTTTCCTTCCCACTGGCAGGCACAGCCGCAGAGATGCTGCTGCTGTGGCTTGGACACGTGCCTCCAGCTCTGCCCCGCTCCCACCTTTGCAAAGCCCCGGGAGCTGAAGAAGGCCGGGCACCAGCTCCGAGCCAGGCACTGCGGCCAACAGGTGCAAATACCCCAGCCCACACAGGCGCCCGCTGCTGGGACCCCCACGCGCAGGACGGGGCCCACACGTGTTGCATCCCCGGCTCAGCGCGTGGGAATCTGCAGGCAGATGGTCCCGCGGTGGTGGGGAGAGGCTGGGAAATCACATGCGTGTGCACACAGTGGTGTTTGCCGCCTGCCAGCATGCTCTGCTCCGCTCCGCTCGGCCCTGCTGCTGCGGGGTACCTGTAATTACCCTGACCAGGCTCCCTGCCACAGCAGTGCCCGCGGTGTCGAGTCCTCCCGCAGGCAGTGAGATCCCGGCGGTGTGCACGCGTGCTGCTAATTATCCCGCTACCTGGGGACTTCCCTGCCGAGGCTGGCGGAGCGGGAGATTGCTGCTCCAATCTCCCTGCTTTGCCTCCCGGTCCCTGGGCACCAGCTGGAAGTGCCTCTTTGCTGCAGCATAGAATTAGAGAATAATTAAGGCTGGAAAAGACCTCTAAGATCATCGACACCAACCATTAACCCAACACTGCCAAAGCCACCTCTAAACCACATCCCAAGTGCCATGTCTACACAGTTTTTAAACACTTCCAGAGATGGTGATTCCACCACTGCCCAGGGCAGTATCTTCCATAGTGTAACCCCAGCATGGCATGAGGGAAGCCCTTGGACCTATGTGAAGTGATGCTGTGCCCCACAATGCTGGAGTCCAAATTCTGCTTCTCCCCAGCTTCAGCTCACAACCAGTGAGACAGTGTCCAATTTGTTATTGCTGCTGCTGTTGGCCACCCCACTTTATCCTAAGGTGATCTCTTGGCACTGAAGCCAAACCTTCTTGGGACCCATGTGCCCCTGTCCCATACATTGCTTCCCTTCCGTCTTTCACCCTCACAGTCCTCCTACGGCTGGCCCAGCCTCCCCACAAGGCTCCTGGCAGGATGCAGGATGCCCAGTGATCACAGCAGCAGCACACACACAAACATGTGAGTGCAAGAAGAGGCATCTGAGTGAAGAGGAATTTAAGGAAGGTGAGGGGTCAGCATCAGACCTGCCAGGACCTAGTCCTGGGCAGAGCTGCAGGGAGGACATCTTTCATCCTTGACTGACCACAGAGATTGTCTTCAAGGCAGAGAGGAGATGCACGCAAGGAAAAGGGTTACAGCTGGTCCTACTCCCTCTGGGTTTTACTGATCTGGCATGGAAGAGGCCTGGATGTGTTTCTTGTTAAGCTGGAGTCTATAGAGCAAGGGTGGGGAGGCACCCCCAAACCATCTCCCTGCCTTCTGTCCCACTCCCCCACCCACTCAGACCCTCCATGGCCAGGAATCCATCTCCCCACAGCCACCACCATGATCCCAGTATCAGTTTGTCACAAAGCCCTCATTTCTCCCTGCCCTGAGCTGCTCCTCGTGCAGCTGGGGGAAAACCACAGGGACACCCTCTTGGGGGTCAGGGACATAGCACCTTCCTTCCCACCGCAGAGCCATGGGGGTGCTGATGTCCAGGAGGCAGACGGTGGAGAGGGTGCAGAAGGTCAGCTTGGCCGTGTCAGCCTTCAAGGATGGGCTGCGGGAGCAGCCATCGACACGGCGCCGGGCGGAGGCGGGGACTGCACGCCAGGGGACGCTGGAGCAGGAGGTGCAAGAGGGAGAGGAGGAAGCGCTGGCAGGACCTTCCCAGCCGGAGGAGAGCAGTGCCAGCAAGGCAGCCTGGGAGCGGCTGCGGGATGGCCGGGGCGTGGAGCCAGAGGAGTTCGACCGGGCCAACAGGTTCACGCCACCAGCCTTCATCCGGCCCAAGAGGGAGCTCCACGATGATGAGCCCCCGGACATCAGCCTGGAGCAGAGGGAGCAGGTGAGCTGATGGAACCACAGAGACAGCGTGGGAGGGATGGGGACAGGGCTGGAGGTGCACAAGCACCTGAGGGTCTGCCAGGGAGTGACAGTCTCCCTAAGCCCTACGGAGGTGGCTCGGTGGGGTAGAGTGCCAGTAGCCACGCTGGGCAGGTGGAGGTGCCACACTGGGAGGGGGGTGCAACTGTTCAGATGTGTCCCAGAGGCACCCTGGAGTGTCTTGAAAAGGAGAAGTCACTGCTGGGCACAGGCAGTTCTAGGTCTGGGGAAGAGAGGACAATTTGATCTACATGTTCGTCCACCTACAGTCATTCAGCTTGCAACTCAAGCTATCCCTCCATACCTGCAGCCCCTACATCCCTGCCCGTCTACAACCCAACAGCTTATCCACCCATGTCCTCAATCTCACAACACACCCATCCACACCCAAAACCTTACCCACCCAACTCTACACACCAGCCCACCTACACCCTTATATAGCACCATAAAGGCATGGAATATCCTGAGTCAGAAGGAAACCACAAGGATTTTTGAAGTCCAACTCCTGGCCATACACAGGATACCCCACGAATCACACCATGTGCCTGAGAGTATTGTCCAGGCTTGGTGCTGTGACCACTGCCCTGGGGAGCCTGTTCCAGTGTCCAACCACACCCTGAGCCTAAATTGCCCAGGGCACCAAGATAATATACCGAGGTTAGTATCTCTTTGGAAGTGGAAATGGAAATGTGTGGAAAACCTTACAGCTTATCCATCGACACTTACAACCCTAAAGAGCAGCCAGTGTACAACCCTACAGCCCAGCCACCCACATGTAACACGCTGCAGAGAATCTACGACTCCACAGCCCCACCACCCCTACAGTCAGACCATCCACCCACCATTCATCCCCACAAACACACCCACGCTCCTCTAACTTGACCAGCCACATCCATTACAACAACCTCTTCCCCATGCCAGCCCCACACATTCCCAGCTTCCCCCCTTACCATCCACCCCCACCTGCAAAGCCCCACCCAGATCGAGAAGCCAAGCCCCTGCCTACACTGCTCTGCTGAGCATATGCCCATCCCTGCCCAGATCCAGAATGATGAGATGTGTGAGATCTGCGAGGTGTGGACAGCCGAGAGCCTCTTCCCCTGCCGCATCTGCCGCCGGGTGTACCACGACGGCTGCCTGCGCCGCATGGGATACCTGCAGAAGGACAGCGCCGTGGAGGTGACAGAGACGGCGCACACCGAGACGGGCTGGAGCTGCTACTACTGCGTGAGTGCCTGCACTGGGGGACACCAGGCTGCTGCAGGGTGGTGGGTGCTCCCCAGGGAACTGTGCCCCACATGGACATGAGCAGGGTCCTGTCTCACAGCCACTGGGCAGTGGGGGACTTGCTGCTCTCTGGTTCCCACCACCCACCTTGCCTTGACGGGGTCACCAGACACACGGTGCAGTGGCCCTTTTCCACCTCCCCACCCCTGCAGCCAGCTCCCCAAGACCTTGGTGCAGAATGTGACACTGTGGGCACAAGAGGTGCTGTAGCAGAGCTGGGATGGCCAAAGCCCGGGGGCGTGGAGCCATCCCACTGCAGCACCCTTGGGTGACACAGCACATCTCTCTGGGTGTCCTCACCCACTCCCTTCAAGGGAGGCGCTGCCATACAGAGGTGTGCTCCCTCACCCCATGTCTTTTCCTCATGGCTCCTCTCTGCCCCCTACCCTAGGACAACCTCAATCTGTTGCTGACAGAGGAAGAGATGTACAGCCTGATGGAGACCCTGAAGAACTGCAAGATCATTCCAGGTGTGTACCCTCCATGCGGCGGGTCCCAGATGGCTGCGGGAAGCAGCTGGGGAGGGGGGGTCCCCCTTCCTTCCTGGGCACAGCACAGCCAATCTGTCCCCTGCAGAGAGCTGCCTGACCCTGGATGACTTCCTGCACTACAAACACCAAGTGCACAAGCAGCAGTTTGAGCGGACCATGCCTGAGGCACAGGAGGAGCAGGCAGCCCTGCAGTTCAATGCCCTGGACCCTGACAAGAAGGGGCACATTGAGTGGCAGGACTTCCTCTCCCACGAGTCCATCCAACTGCTGCAGAAAATACGGCCACAGGTACGGTTGTGGCATCCAGGGCTTGCTCCCATGGCTGTCACACATGGTCACAGCACCCAGGGCTGGCTACCATGGCCAGCAGCTGTGGCAGTGGCACCTAGGTCCAACACCCACAGCCACAGCACCCATGGTCATGGCACCCAAAGATGATGCCTCCGGCTGTGGCACCTGGGGCTGACTCCCACAGCCAGCACTCCTGGCCATGGCACTCAGGGTAGAGACCCCTAAGCTTTGGGAATATAAGGAGGAAGGTTCCCACAGGATGCATGCTACACCTTCACTTCTCTGACTCCCTAGAATGCCCTTCTGCGGCTGCTGACACCCAAGGAGCGGGAGCGGGCACGGACAGCCTTCCTGGCCCTGGACCAGGACAATGATGGCTTCATTGGGGAGGCTGAGTGCCGCCAGGCTCGGCACACCTGGTTCCGCAAGCACCAAAAGGAGATGCTGTCCTGCAATGTCAGGTGAGGGGATGCCCACCCTGGTGTAGGGGTGATATCCCAGCTGGGACTCCCAACACAGTCCCAACACCTACCAAAGGGGCTCAGCACACAAATGGTTACCCCCGCTTCCCGCCACCTCCCCCACCATGGCCCCTCAGCCCTGTGCACCCTTTCCCCCATCACCACCATTTGGGGTGCAAGGAGTGGGGATGAAGAGCGTCCTCCTCCCTGCCACAGCATCAGCCATGTGGGGCCCATATCAGAGGGCAGCCCCGCCAGCAGCAGGAACGGGAAGAGCCCGGAGAAGATCCTGCCAGCCACAAAGCAGGAGGAGACCAGGTGAGGCAGGGGTGGTTAGGGGGATGATGGAGACCCCCATTTTGGGGGGAGACCCTGGGGGAGCAGTGTTGCCAGGGTGTCCAGTGAGCCCACATCTGCCCACAGGAGCATCGACTGGCCCGGATTCCTGCGGGAGAACGTTGCCTACATCCTGGCCGCGCGCCCCAACAGCGCAGCCCTGCACCTGCAGCCCCTTGCCTAGACCCGGCCGCGCCTCGAGGGCGCAGTGCCACGCCCGCCATGGTGACCTGCCCCGCCCTCCCCCGCGGGCACAGCCAGGCGCCGATTGGCTGGCAGGGAAGCGGCCATGCTGCCCTATGCCCCACCTCCCCCTTGGATTGGCTGTGAAGAGGATGGGTGCCAGGCTCTGATTGGCTGAGGGAGCAGGAGCAGCTCTCGAGTCTCTGATTGGTGGGGGGAAGTAGGGCGGGGCAGGGCGTGTCCCCACTGTTCTCTGCACCAGGCAGGGACCACGGTAGGCAAGGGTCCTGTGCTGGGGGTCACCGTGGGGCACAAGGGGCAGGGAACATGCTGCCCCCATGATCCCTGTCCCCACAGCACCCAGGGACCTGCAGACAGAGCAGGGGCTGCCCTGGGTACTTGTGGGGTGACAGCAGAACCCAGAGCACCCATGTGTCCCCAGCCTCCCACAGCATCATGGGGCAGCACAGCTGAGCCTCTGCGTGCCACAGGCAGCGCCCACGGGTCTGCGGCAAGCAGTGTCTCAGCTCACCGGTGTGGTGGATCCTCAGGGGATGTGGCTGACTCCCTTTGGGGTCTTTCACATCCCTGCCCTACTGAAGCAGGGGTTGGAGCCCAGTAGGTCTATTCTTGCATGCACAGCTCATGGCTGGAAGAGACAGTTTCTTGTCATGGCTCAACCCTTCCCTTCTGGCAACCAACTATTTAATGCCAACAGCAATGGTGTAGGAAGGAGCACTGGTAACAGAAAGCATCAGAGGGATAAGAAGTCAAGGTCAGATGTAGGGGGACTCCCTTATGCCTCTGATCTTGCCGGCAGCACTCCCCTGTGTCCCTCATCCCCTCCTGTACCCCTGGTTCCAAGGGATGCTCTTCATTTGCTTTGCCATTCCAGTCCCACACCAACCCTGTTCAGTCTCGCTCTCTACCCACCGCATCAAGTGGGCAGCCTTGCCTCGCTGGGAGCATTAGTGCTAGTGGTGGGAGGAGGAGGCAGAGCCACCCCAGGTGTCAGCTGCAGGGATGAGGCATTCACTGGGCCCGTTGGCAGCCCACAGTGATAGATGCACTCAGCCCACAGATGAAGGAGCAGGAAGCCCGGAAACCTTGCCCTGGACATGCCAGGGGTTGGGATGCCCAGGTCCCACGGCAGTGCCAGCAGCTGCTCCTGCCTCTCTAATCCCTTTCCCGCAGTGCCCTCAGCCTCTTCCTCCCTGGTGTGCTCTGGCTCAGCCAGGAGGCCCGGGGGTGTACAGAGGCCAGGGGTGCACTTGCAGCAAGCTGGTCATTCCCTCACCCCCATCCCTGATGCCCTGTGGGCATCATCCCAGTCAGCCCCCTTCCCCCAGCCAGGGCACAGTTCCCCTCTCCAGGGTCTCCCCCACTGCAAGACCAGGAGGCGCACCAGTGCCACGACATCTTCCTCTACCACCCTGGCATGCCAGGCCAATGGGGATATTTTGGATGCCAGGTCCGAGATGTGGCCAGAGCGCCAATGGGGATATTTCGGATGCCAGGTCCGAGATGTGGCCAGAGCCATGGCGAGGAGGCGGCCGTGGGTGCGTGGGTTGCAACTCCCTATCTGTACTGAGATACATTCATTAAACAGCTGTGTCCAGCTAGCCTCTGTCTGGTGTGCCTACAGGTCTTTTGGCTTCTCTGCGGGCATTTATGGGCACCCACAGCTTCCTATTGTTTAAAATCCCACCCCAGACTCAGCTCACTGTCCCATCAAGCAAGCTTGGCCCCCTGTCCCCAGAGTGTCCCACAGCAGTGACAGAGGGCAGCCAGCGTGTGCACCCAGCAAACTCAGGGAGCTGCATGTCTCCCAGGAAAGCAGACAGTAAGGAGAGTGCGTGGCTGATTGTGGAACCACCCCAAACATTGCAGTGAAAGGGACAGCTCTCCACAGGGATGAGTGTGCTCTCCACCCCTAGAGGAACTGGATGATGAGAACTGAGCACTGGAGACAGCTGGATGCTGGGAACAGGCTGTCTGCAGGAAAATTACCCCACAGAGACAGCAAGGTTCCCCGGGAGAGTGGTCCCCTTGGCTGGAATGCTCCAGCTAATCACATCCACAGAGCTCCCAGGAAAAGCTGCAGCTATTGCTGGCAGCACATGGCCTTTGGGAACCAGGCTGCCAGTAAAGGGGACTCACTGGCCTGTGGGGGACTTTCCTTGCAGAGCCCATGCTGCAGCTGGGAGGGGAATGGGATTTGAGAAGAGGATATGGGAGGGGGGATGCTGCCCTGACAGCATCAGTTCAGTCTGTGGGGCCACAGAGCTTGCTGCTAAAAGCTTGACTTGGATATTTGAGCTCACTCCCACGATCACAGTGGGATACCATTGCGTACAAACCACAGCAGGGGTGTCCAGCTCACACACAGAGAAAATCCACCAAGCATTTCAGGCTCTGAAACCCAGATAAGCCTTAAAATTATCTGTGTCACCTGGGAGACACACTCATCACCTTGGGGAAGAGGATGGACATCTGCAGGAAGGGGGAGCTGACGGAGGTTTTGTGCCTGATGGTGGGATGTCACGGATTGGTGATGATGCGGGCTCTGCCGGTGGAGGAAAGCCCAGGGAAGCCCTCACATGGCGAGAGGGTGTTAAATCACTGTGTTATTATCACAGTGTTAAATCACTGTGTTATTGCTCCGTCTGCTGGAGATGAAGAACAACGAGGCACAGAGCACAGGCCTGATAACCCTGAGAGTGGGGCACTCACTGGCAGCACCCCAAAGCTCTTCACCCAGGGAACAAGGCACAACAGCTCTCCCAGCCCCAGCCTACCCTGTAGCACCCTACAGCAGGCTGGCACCCCTGCCAAGACACACAGCTGGCTGGTGTCCCCGGGAAGCTGGATAACAAGGGCCACAGGTGGCCATGGTGGCCTGTGTCCTGCAGGGCTGTGCTGTCAACACTGCAGCACCACCTTCACAGCTCTGTCACAGCTACAGATCCCCAGTGAGTGACCACCACACAGCAGAGTGTGCCCCAGCCACATTTCCACAGACGCAGCATCGAGGTCTGGGCAGAAGCAGGAGGATGTGGTGGGGAAATGGGCAAGGTGTTGCTGTGGTTCCCCTTTCATGTCACCTGGTCCTTCAAGGCTGCTGACCTCTGAGACACTGTCCCAAGGAAGCCTCTGTTGCCTACAGACCACCCTTCCTAATGCTGGGGCAAGGCTGTCTCCAAATACTGGATGATATCTTCTGCTGCATTTGGTACCAAAACTCCCAAACACCCAAAAATTGGCACAAGGCTCTCTCTGGACACTTGTGCAATCTGCTCACCTCACGCTGGTGCGAACCTCTCTCCAAATCTCTCTGAATGCTGTTGCAAACCTTTCCCTTAACAGCAGTGCAAACATCCCCATGGTGATCCCAGGCCCTAAACCAAAGGATTGGGATGTTCATGTGGGATTTAAGGCTGGGGCAATAACCAGCTGTCCAGCCCAACCCTCCCAAGCCTACTGAAGTTACAGTGTGCAGCTCACATGCCTGTGGTGGGATTTAAGGCTGGGGCAATAACCAGCTGTCCAGCCCAACCCTCCCAAGCCTAATGAAGTTAGTGTGCAGCTCACATGCCTGTGATCCCACATCTGTCACCCTCCACCAAGTGCCATGCAGTGGACGCTGTGCTCCCCACACAGGTTCCCAGCTGGAAGGGCTCCAGTCCAGCATCACTCTGCTTGGAGCTGGGAACAGAGTCCCAGGGTCCTGGGGGGCAGCTCTGGCTCCTGTGTTTCACAGCAGGCGGTGGTCAAAGTATTGTCCACCCTCTACCCCAGTTGTCCTGCTATCTGGGAGGGGACTGGCAGATCCTGTCTGGGTCAGGAGCAGCCCACAGGTGATGGGGGATAATAGTGCCTCACTCTGTATTGAGGTTGCCCCCTCTGCCAGGCTGCAGGGCTATTGGACAGGGCTGCCAACCCCTCAAAAAAAATCTGTTAGTGAGGAGGACTTGGTTTTGCACCTGAGGGTGCAGGATAGCACCCTCCTCTGAGCCTGGACACCTCTGCACATCCCTGGAGCTCCCCTGGACTTGGCCAGATTCCCCTAGGTCTGGTGTGTCCTGGAGGGGAAGTGACCATGATGAGCCCCACACCAAAGCCAGACAATCTTCAGGAGAGCTGTGCTGGCATAGAGGGGAGAAGAATGACCAGAGGGACTCAGTGGACAGTGTCTCTATGAGCCCAGGCACTGACTGTCACTGGAGCAAGACATCAGAGCCACATCCCATCACCGGACCAGTCAGAGACCACTGGCATGAAAAGAGGATTCTCTGAGCAGCATGTGACAGTGACAGCGAAGCCACAGCCCGTGGAGGCAGTGACACCGTGGTGGCCCCAAGTATCCTTCCCCTCCCAGGCCAGGGCAGGAGTGACCATGCAGAAGAGGGATAAATGATCTCCCCATTTAGTAACATCACTGCAGATGCAAGCAGGAAAGTGAGGTGGGGAAGCTGAGACGATTTGGGACAGAATAGCGATTAGGAGATTAGATTACCCAGAAGTGACTCGCCCACCCCAAATCAGGGTCCCTAGGGACATCAGGGCCCTCTGGGGACAGTTGAGGGAGGATTAGGGGTGAGTGGGCTGCGGAGGGGTACAAGGGGCCGTAAGAAGTGTGCGTGTCCCCCGCAACAGAGGGGTGACCACGGGGTGTCGCCGCTGCTCCACGCCGGGAACCGGCAGTGCCACTTGGGAACCCGCAGAAAGCATGCAGGGAGCAGGGATGCAGGGATGGAGGGAGGGGGGAGGCAGGGACTCGTTTCAATACCCCGAAATAATTATGTAGGTTGTTTTGTGACCCACTTCCCCTCCTGCGCCAAACCCAGCTCTGACTCCTACCTCTGCCTCACAGCACCTTCCTCCTCCCTGGTTATGTGCCCGTGGCTGGTGAATGGAGGACCACACCTGCTGCCCGGGGAGCTGCGACTGAGCCCCAGGCTCCTGCGGGGATGGTCTCCATTCTCCGCAGCCCCCTGGAGGTGGAAGACCCTGGGCCTTGGAGAAGAGGGATTGACTCGGGGCTCTCTCAGGTCTAACAACCTTTCCCTGTGAGTTGCATAGGCAGGTAGAGCCCCCTCCTCTCTTGTCCCCTTGTCTCCTCTGTTCAGAGCCACTGCACCCCCCCAAATAGCCGCAGGGTCTGACCACACTCGGCACTACAACCTGGCTGGGAAGGCTGTTCAAGTGACGGAAATGAAGCCTAGCACTAGGTGTGGTGGCACAAGTAAGGACAGCGATGCCCACCAGCACCTGCTGGGACCAGTCACATGCTGCTCAGGGCAGTCTGGAGGGAGCCATAGGGCACCTGAGTGGGGAAATTACATCCCCTCCCCAGCACCTACCCAGCAGGTACCCAGCCCACAGCTGTTGGATGAGCTGCCCCAACAGGACACAACCCCACAGGCACTCCAACATGGGGAGGGTGTGCTCCTTTCTGAGGAAATGCACATGACCTATGCCACCCACAGGAGCCCACTCAGAGCC